AGTCTTTTGAGGAACCTCCATACTGCTTTCCAAAGTGGTTGAACAAGTTTACACTCCCACCAACAATGCAGTAGGGTTCCCTTCTGTCCACATCCCCTCCAGCATCTGCTGTTATTAGAGTTCTTGATTATAGCCATTCTAACTGGGGTAAGGTGGTATCTCAATGTTTTGATTTGCATTTCTCTTATGGCTAGGGAGGTTGAGCATTTCTTTATGGGTCTATTGACCATCCTTCTTTCCTCTTCAGAGAAGTTTCTCTTTAGCCCACTTATTTGTTGGGCAGTTGTTTCTTTGAGGATTTGTTGTTGGGGGATTTAATTTTTTGAGTTCCAGGTATATTTTAGATATGAGACCCTTGTCCCTTGTATGGCTAGTGAAGATCTTCTCCCAATCCGTGGGCTTTCTATTGATCTTGCTAGCTATGTCCTTTGCATGCAGAAGCTCTGCAATTTCATGCAATCCCATTTGTCCAACCTTTCTTTGTTTTTTTGGGGGAGGGTCCGGTTGTAGGGCCTGAACTCTGGGCCTGGGCACTGTCCCTCAGCTCTTCAGCTCACACTCTACCACTTGAGCCACAGTGCCACTTCCGGCTTTTTATTCCTGCTTATGTGGTACTGAGGAATCAAACCCAGGGCCTCATGCATGCAAGGCAAGCACTCTAGCACTGAGCCACCTTCCCAGCCCTGTCCAACCTTTCTTTGATTTGTTGTGTTTCTGGGTCTCTATTAAGAAAATTTTGGCCTATGCCAAGGAGACCTAGAGTTTCTCCTATTCCATCCTGTAATGTTTTCAGGGTGTCTGCTTTGACTCTGAGGTCTTTGATCCATTTGGAGTTGATTCTGGTGCAGGGTGATATATAAGGATCTAGCTTTAGTGTTCTACAAGTGATTAACCAATTTTGCCAGCACCATTTACTGAAGAGGCAGTCTTTCTTCCATTCTATTGTTTTAGCTCCCTTATCGAAGATTAGATGGCTATAGGTCTGTAGGTTGATTTCTGGGTTTTCAATTCTATTTCATTGGTCCTGAGGTCTGTTCTTGTGCCAGTACCAAGCTGTTTTGATTACTATGGCATTGTAGCAGAGTTTGAAATTTGGTATTGATTCCTCCAGCACTGTTCTTTCTGTTGAGGATCATTTTTACTATTCTTTTATTGTTCCATATAAATTTTTGGATTGCCTCTCCTATTTCTTTGAAGAATAAGGTTGGAATATTGATAGTTATTGCATTGAATTTGTAGATATCCTTGGGAAATATTGCCATTTTTATGATGTTAATCTTTCCAACCCAGGAAACAATGACTTTTTTTGACCAAGGCTCTAGTTGGGTCATGGAGGCATACTTAAAATGTCCCAGAGACACCAGGAAAAGAGAACAGTTTAGAGAAGCGTGGGAAGATTCAGGTCACAACTCTTATCACCATCATTTGTTTCTTAAAACATTTTTTGGCTGGGTGCAGTGGCTCATGCTTATAATTCTAGCTACTTGAGGCAGAGATCAGGAGGATCCTGACTGGAAGACGGCCGGAACCAAAAGTAAGCAAGACCTCCATCTCAACCAATAGCTAGGCATAATGGTGTGCACATGTCATCTGCATAGGAAGCTTAACAAAGAGGATCACAGTTCAGGAGTATATGGGCATAGAGAGGGACACTATTCATAAAATAACCAAATAATAAAGGACCAGGGATGTGAATCAACTGGTGAAGTGTCTGCCTAACAAAGCCCTGAGTTCAAACCCAGTGCCACTCAGAAATTTAAAACACAAACACACATACACACACTTCTCAATCACCTTTTGTATATAAGAGTTGAGACCAGAAAATCAGGATTCCTAAACCCTGCACACTAAGGGTGAGGGTCTACTAGAGAAACTGAGCATAATAGCTAATGTTTTGCATGTTATGCCATACACCAAGTGGCATATGTGTGTTACCTTTCCTTGATCATAGTCATTGTGCGAACAGAAATTGAAGTGCAACGACTTTAGGTAACATTTTTAGTAAATGACAAAGTCAGGTGGTTTGAAAGAATGATATGTGCCAGCTGTGGTGGCACATGCTTATAGTCTAGCACTTGGTTGCTGAGTTGGAAGGATCACCAATTTGAGGTGAAGCTGCACTATACTACAAGACGCAGTCTCAAAACTATATGACCATGTGGTTCTGATGTTTGATGGACTTAACTGGTGGTCTCTCACCCTGAGTCCCTTGTACATAACAGTCAGATAGTGGCAAAAGCTGGAGTCGGGCATGTCCTGGTATAGTAAGTTTTCCTCAGGACTTGGCAGTTTCGGGGCACTTGGACATCTTAGAATCTGGTTTCCTCTATAGCAATTATTCTACCATGCTAGGCAGAAATGCAAAGCCCCAGTGTCCAAAAGCATGCAGCATCATTCCAGCCATGTTCTTCTGCTCAGAATCATCCTAGGTCAGCTCAGATACAGGGGGAGAAGAGGGCTCTGTGCCCTGGGGGTGGGGGGAGAGCTTACAAAGTAAGGAAATTATTAAGCCCATCTTGGAGATGGATGAGCCACCAATAGCCAGATGTGGCCCTAGTCAATGTGGCTCCAATTGTGCAGACTCTGCCATTAGGATCCTCCAACCTACCACCACATACACCCAACCATGTGTGCTACTGGTAGCTACAAGAAGATGAATTGGTGAATGAAGGAGGAAGTGGTCAGCTTGGCCTCAGTAGCCCAGAGAAGACTTCCTATAGGAGAAGCATGCACACACACACACACACACACACACACACACACAATCTGGCTCACTTAAGTGTAAAGGACAGACTCTGATGGCACTGGGCAGCCTATAATTGAGTAAGATGACCTTAAAAGACAGCTCTGAGGTAGCTCATAGCCAGAGTCTACCATGGAGTGGAGGAGCCATGAAGTCCAGTCCCTCTAGAAACTAAGAGGCAGTGCCGGGTGCTAGAAAGAAACTAGAAGGCCAACAACTACAAGAATGAGAGGCCTCATTCTTTCCTGAACACCAGCACACTGGATTCTCTGAACATATTGTGATCTGGTCCCCACCCCACAGATTGGAGTCCCACACTTGGTGATCTGCATGGACTGCTCGGCAGACACCATGACCAACCGCCTTCTCCAAAGGAGCCAGAGCAGCCCGTGCCTAGAGGACACCACCAAGACCATTGCCAAGCGTCTGGAAACCTACTACCGAGCGTCCATCCCCGTGATGGCCTACTATGAGGCAAAAACACAGCTGCGGAAGGCAAGCACCAGTCCCCTCCCCACCCCCACCCCTACCCCAAGACAGTGGTCTGCCACTTTTCTTCTTTCCAAGGAAAGAGAAATGATTGGAGAGCTTTGGTGACGGGGACTTGAGGTACATGAAGCTACAGAATTTGGGCAAAAATATGACTCCCCTACTGTCTTCACTATTGTGTCAATCACGTTTAAATATGTGTCATTATAGGGGCCATAAAAACTTCTCATTTAAGCTTCACAGGTGCTATTATAACTGTTGAATATTCCTTTGTCACAGAGGGGAGGAAGAGAAGAAGAAGCAGCAGAAGCCCCCAAACTCTTGGGCAATTTCTTCCTTTCTTTTTTTTCTTCCTTTCTTTCTAGTTATTGTCAAGTAGTTGTACAATTCACATGTTAGTTTATGAATGCAATGTCTCTTGATCAACATCACCTGTGTCCTTATTCTCCCCATCTCTTCCCAATCCAACCCAGCCCCCCAATTTACCTGGTTTCATTTTCACAGATGTAGATCGAATATTATGACTGCACTCAACTGCCCCCCATCCCCATTCATTTCTTCCCCAACCTTCTTAAGTGATGTCTAGACTTCAGCTTTTCTAGGTCCTTTGAATTCTGGAGTTTTACCCAGTGCACAATGAGCACTCACTTCACTTCATCAGTTTCTTACGATCATTAATGCTTTGAGGGGAGAGCAAATTAGTAGATGAAACTAGAGGTATGTAGGGGGTTGGGCAGTATCAGCTACATGAGAGAGAGAAAGGAAAGTAAGAGAGGAAAACAATAGGCAAATAATTTTTAACTATGAATAAAACAAAAGGATATGTTGTTGGGGCTGATTATTAAGAGAGTCTCTTTGAAGATGTAGCTTTAATTCACTAAGGCTTTGTTGCTATGAACAGGGTTGCCTAGATCTCTTCCATACAAAGTAGGTGGAGACTAAAAATTCCAGAGGAGGAGGGCTTGTTGTGAACTGAGAGAAAATGCAGAAATATACCTCAGAGAACATGGACAGATTCTATAAGCTGATAAGTATGTAAGTAAGTGTAAGTTGATTTATAATTTTCTTAAGTATGAAAATAATAAAGTATGCATTGTTTAAAGAAAGAAGCAAGCCAGACACCAGTGGCTTATAGTTACACAGGAGACTGAGATATGAGAATTGTGGTTCAAAGTCAGCCTGGGCAGGAAAGTCTGTGAGACTTCTTATTTCCACTAAACTACAAAAAAAAAAAGCTGAAAGTGGAGCTGTGGCTCAAATGATACAGTACTAGTTTTGAGCAAAAGCAGCTCAGAGACAGTGCCTAAACCCTGAGTTCAAGCTCCAGGATCAGCACAAGAGGAAGGAAGGGAGGGAGGGAGGGAGGGAGAGAGGGAGGGAGGGAACTAAAACATTTGAGAAGACAAAGAGAAAAGTAAAATTTATCCAGAATTCTTCCACAGAAAAATAATCACAAATAAATCAATACATTTTCTCACCTTTTCTTTCTTCATCCATTTTTGGTTTTGTTTTGTTTAATAATTAATTCTTTATTCTTACAGCTAATCTTAATTACTATAAATACCCCCACCAACATGCCATAGCTATCTTAGGTATCATCATAAAGAAGACTATTTTTATATGTTTTTTTTGTCAGTTGTGGGGCTTGGACTCTGGGCCTGGGCGCTGTCCCTCAGCTCAAAGTGAATACTCTACCACTTGAGCCACAGTGCCACTTCCAGTTTTCTGGTGGTTAATTGGAGATAAGAATCCTATAGATGTTCCTGCCCAGATTGGCTTTGAACCACATCCTCAGATCTCAGCCTCCTGAATAGTTAGGATTATCGGCCTGAGTCACCAAAGCCCACCTTGGTAATATTTTTTAAAGACCAAAATGTTTAATGGGAAAAAAAAAACAGAACTGCTATACTCCAGGAATTACATTTGTTTTGTTCACTGCTTTATTACCAGTCTGCAACACAGTACCTGGCACAAAGTGATAAAAGGACAGAAAGTATCTAATAAATATCCCATGTTACCCAGGTACTAGTGGCTCATGCATGTAATCCTAGCTATGCAGGAGCCTGAGACCCAGAAGATAAGAATTCAAAACTAGGCTAGACAAAAAAAGTCCTTGAGACTCCAATCCTAAAATAACCGACAAAAGTCAGTCTGTAGATGTGGCTTAAGTGGTAGAGCATCATCCAAAAACAAGAAAACCAAGCAAGGGCAAAGCCCAGAATTTAAACTCCACTATTAGTGTATGCACACAACACACACACACACACACACACACACACACACACACACACACACACACACACACACACAGAGTGCTTAGTATTCAAAGAATTTTATTTTTAAATTTTTTAGTTTCTGTAGTATATGATTTTCAGGAGTCTTATCTGCTGAGTCACTAAAATTGTATATTTTGTCTTTTTTCTGTGGATTTTTTTTAGACCTCCAGTTTGAGTTTACTTATCTGTTCCAGCTATCTGTATATAAGAAACCACTTACTCTATCATCATGGCTTCAGTGCATGAAGAGTGAGGGAAGGGTTGTGCAGGGGCATGAGGGGAGCTCTGCTCTGCTCTGACAGCTGAGGGCTTCTGCTGGAATTGTTCAAATGGCCAGGGATGGCCCAAAAGAATTGGGGCCACCACTGCAATGGTAGCTCTTCATTCTCACGATGACATCTTAGCAAGGATGGTTTGGCTGGAACAGTTGACCTGAGCACCTGCAGACAGCTTCTCTAGAGCAACCTGTGCTTCTTGAAGCTTTTTTCCAGGTTCAAAAGGTGAAGCCCCATTGGAAGCACACAAGGAAGGAGGTCCAGGGGTCCACCAGCAGCTGCGATACCATGCACTCTCACCTAGGCTACGAGGCCATGTGGCCTTGCTTCTATGCTATATTGAGTACAAGTAACAAAGGGCAGCCTCCATTCAAGAGGAAGTAGATTAGAACTGGGGGCAGGTGTGGAATTGTGCACACACCTGCACTTACACATGCCCAATACTTTTTCTTCCTTTTCCTCTCTCCTTTTTCAACCACATCTGATGCCCTATCACTTGAGCCACAGTTCCACTTCTGGCTTTTGGCTGATTAATTGGAGATGAGTTGCTAGAATTTGTCTGCCCAGACATGATTCAAATCGCTTTTCTCAGATCTCAGCCTACTGAGTAGCTGTTTTGATGAGTGAATGCATAGCAAGGTTATGTGGCCTAGAAGATATTAATGCAACCATCTTTGGTTTGGTTTGGTTTGGTTTTCCAATTCAAGAGTGGAGATATGGGGCCAGGGGGCCCCCCAGTCCAGAGCTACCAATGAACAGAGTGGGCAGGTTGTGTTAATCTCATTTTAGAGTCCCTCAAATACTGGTGGCACTGGGCACTGATCATGTTCTGATTTCCTCTGGAGGGCAGAGTGCCAAGCTCCCTACACAGCCTGTGGTCTCTGAGAGACTTTGACAGATCAATGATAGGATTGAGATGTGAGGAACAGAAGCCTCTCACAGCTAGCCTTTGTGTTCTCTCTCCTCTGCTGCTCTTTTGCAATTACAGTATTAAACTATACTCAAAAACAACCCACTAGTGAGGTATAAGGGAAAATTCTCACCTTCAAAGGACATTGCCACTTAGCCAAGGACTGATGCTTGTTTTGGGACACAGCATAGCCCAGAGACAGATACAGAAATGGAGACACACACAGACATGGAGAGACACAGAGAAACAGATTATGAATTCTAATTCCATTGGCAATAGGTAGTAATTCCATTTCAGTTTGGCAGAATTCCTATGACTATCTATCTTTAATAGGTTTTTGCTTGTAGTTCTACTGATAGATTTCCTACTGGAAATTAACTAAATGAGGCCCTGTCAGGGATGCTGGAAAGACCTGTACAACGTGAGTTCAAGACAAAGGGGGAAGTGAACTTAGATCAGTACTAAGGTTCTGTCTCGTTATCTCAGAAGTTAGACATAAATCTTCTGTCTCTAAGGGACTAAGAAATTCATTTTTTTTTCGTGTGCGTGCGTGCGTGTGTGTGTGTGTGTGTGTGTGGTGACACATGCACACCTGTGCTATAGGTTGAGCTCAAGGTCTGGACTCTGTCCTTTAACTTTTTGCTCCCAGATAGCACTCTACCACTTGAACCACTTTTGGCTGTTTGCTAGTTAATAGAAATCAGAATCTCATGGACTTTTCTACCCAGTCTGCCTTGGAACTGCGATCCTTAGAGCTCAGCTTCCTGAGTAACTAGGATTACAGGCATGAGCCATTACCACCTGGCTGAGAAACTCATTCTTGATAACTATGAAAATCTTTTTCCTGTTTGTCATATGGTCCCTCAATTCCTGCAAAGTCCTTTGTATTCAATGCACTGTGTTCTGAACCCTGCAATCCTCATGAAATGAGTTGTGGTGGGGTTTTATTTATTGTTTGTTTGTTTGTCAGTCGGTTGTAGAGACTGAACTCTGGGTCTGGGCGCTGTCCCTCAGCTCTTCAGCTCAAGGCTAGAGCTCTACCACTTGAACCACAGCACCACTTCCAGCTTTTTTTGCTTATGTGGTGCTGAGGAATCAAACCCAGGGTCTCAGGCATGCAAGGCAAGCACTCTACCACCGAGTCACCTTTTCCAGCCCTTGAGTTGTGTTTTATTGAGCCGTATCCAACCCAAAGAATAAGCCAGAGAGAATACCAGACCTTTGTACTGATCTGTCCACATTCTTCACTGACTCCCTCAGCAGTTGCCTTGGTCACATGGTGGGTTTTGTCTCTGCTCTTGATCTCCCATGGTCTAAGTTGTTCCAAATATATTTTTTAATTTTCTGATAAATGAGTCAAATATAAACTTAAAACTTTAGATTAATTCTCACAGCACTAAATACTGAGCTCCTCAGTTGCACCAGCCACATTTCCAGTGTTCCGCAGCCCTCGTGACCAGTGGCTCCACTTGGCACAGTTCTAGGCTGTCCTAAGAAGTATGGGCTGACAACCAGACCATGAGAACCTAAGGAAGGACAGAACTG